CAGCAGCAGCAGTAACAGTAGCAGCAGCAGTAACAGAAGAATAAGAAGAAGTGGTTATTATAGCCCAGTCACATTTCTTGTTCGTCGTTGCCTTCTCAAAATGTCAACGATTCCCCCCAAAATATCAAGACAAAAAAAATCTCCGCAAAATGAACCAAAACTCTTGTTTTGAGAGGTCGTGACGTCGTGTTTAGTTTACTTTTGATTCCTTCTCTTATTTTCTATTTAACTGCATTCTGTGTTTGTGTTCAGATGCCTTGTGCAATACTGCAATAGCTTTTATAAATGTCATTATAGGATAGATATTATTCTTTCGCTAGTTTCGCCTTGATTTGACTCTGATTTTCTTCACCACCCCCCCCCACCCCCAACACGCGAAAAAAAAGCCCGTAGAACAATCCGCCAGGCAAAATATCTAAAGAATACTGGCACGACAATCATCACCATTGGAGTTGGACCTTTGATTTCCATGCCCGAGCTGAGAGCTGTTGCGTCCAGAGAGGACCTCGTATTCAGGTGAGTTTGTAGATCAGTTGTCGATGGAGTTTTTAAGATTAAATAGACCTGGATACCTGGAAACCTGGAGGTGTCATATCTGACTCAGAGGTTGACGTGTAGAGGCCCTCCACCCTTCACGTTGGGGAGCTGCCCTTCTACATTCTGCATATTATCCAGGCCAGTCCATGTTATTATGTTGTATTATGTTGTCCTTCCATGTTATTCTTTGTCTCCCTCTGGCTCTCCTGTGCCACATCTTACCTTCATGCATCTATGTATAGGGCATAATAATATAGAGGTTTATCTGCCTAGACTTGAATCATAATATCCTAGAGTGGGCACTATCATGGCCGCTGATTTTTGCTCTGTATAAAAACTTCGCTGCACATTATGCGCACCATGGGCACGCACGTGAAAGGCAAACGACTATATTGCAGTCAAATATTCGAGGCGAAACTTATCCTCAAATATGGTGAACCAGTGTTTCCCATACTTTGAACAGCAGTTTGTATTAATTTGTCTTAACTTAATCATATTTTTCCACAACTGGGGCTCGATTAAAAAACGTTTCTTCATAAATGTATATAAAATACTTCAACTCTATATCACGCAGAAAATGGGATTGTTCACAGCACTCCCCGCTCCTCGCACACATTTTGCATACGCATATGGCTTACTTCACAGCTCATCAATGACACTTTTTAGTTGCTAAACTTCTTAGAAGAAATTAATTTTATAGTGAACACATTTTTGCACTAAACGTCCCCTAAACATTCGTTCAATAAGCATAATGCTGCAATTACAGAAAAATGACAGACTTGCTTTTAAAAGCGATATTGCTCGAGCTGTAAACTTGAAAAGAAAACTGTAGAAAAAATCGACTGGGATTTTTTATTAGTAGTTATTACGGAATTTTCTAGAATACAATGTGCAAGAGTTTGAAAAAATATTCATCAGATGAGACAAATTGATAAAAGTCATTGTGCAAAAGTTAGAGAATCTTTGTTCAATAGTTAAGGAGATATTTGACAATAAGCTGTTTTGACCGCACTATAGTCAAAGAGTCTACATAACAAGAGGGGCCACTTCTCTCTTTGAGCCAATAAAAAAGTGTCCTCAAAATTCGGTGGCGCCCTCTTCGCAAAAGCACACCTTTAGCGAACAGAGTTATCCTACTTGAGTTTAAAAAATCAAAGTGAAACTAGCAAGTTTTTGAATGAATTTCGGAAGAACGCTTTTTTAAAATGGTTACGCTGACAAAAAACCTCTTTCGGAGGAAAGGGTGATTGTTTTCTTCATTTAATTTGACTTTAGATTGAAAGGCGAGAGGTCATTAAAATTTTAAAAAACTAAAACTCCGTACTGAACGAACCCGAACTGCTGATGAACAGCAGTCACAGAATTCTACACTAATTCTATGACAGCAGTCGATCTGCGCACGCAAGGAGGTGCTATTCCTATTCTTCTTCTGGGAAAACGAAAGAGAGCTTCAAAACAGACTGCAGCGCCATCTGAAGCAAAGAGCATACTTCCTGCGGACACTTTTTTGGCTGAGTGGCCCATCTTGTTATTTACTATCATTGCTATAGTCCCGCTAAAGTCGAGTATGCTCACAACCTTTCCCTCCTTGCCCTATGTTTGGTACCGAACTGACTCAAAAGGTGCTCTCAATGGTGAACCAGAATAACGCCAGAGTGCACGGTCCTGGATTTTCTAATACACGTCTATACTACGGTATGGTACAAATCTATGCCTGTCAGTTGGAAATGGCGTTTTCTATCAATACGCTTTCACAATGACAGTTACAGCGCTACAGTTAAAAAACCCAGATACATTGCAATTATTTGAACGATGAATGCGGTGCTGTACGTTGTTGGATAATTACCTGGGTACCTGGAGGTTTTATCTCTGACTCGGAGGTTGACGTGCAATGCAAACCTCTCATTCATTTCTCATACTTTATTTCTCGACCTTGACTTTCAGCGTCACAGATTTCAACGCCCTGACCTATTTGAGAGAAGAAGTGTCGGCAAAGGGCTGTCAGGAGGGTGAAGACACATGCAAAGTTCCTGTGGACCTCGCCTTCCTGTTGGACTCTTCCAGGAGTTTGACCAAAGAGGACTACAATGACCAGATTGACTTTGTGATGAATATGACCCGTGAGTTTCTATGGCACTAATGAGGAAAAGAAGAATCAGGAGGAGTACATGAAAGAAAGAAAAAGAAGTAGCCATTTGCGCTATATTCGTTTCGTTGTAACATAATAATTATTATCTGCCTATTGCATATACCCCATCCGAAGTTTTACAGTGCATTTTTAATTTAGCCACTGTCTATCGTTTTGAAAGCATTTTCAACTGAAATTTACTTTTAAAAAATCAAAATATGCCACACGAGGCACAGATAAAGCAACTCCAGTCTAGTAGAACCCCCCCCCCCCCCCCAAACACACACAAAAAAAATACCTATAGCCAAACTAGTTGTTTTAGACCCTTGGACACGTACAATATTTAGGCTACCGAGCCTGTAAATGAGGGTTTGGGGGTTCTAGGCTAAAATCGTTCCGAAGTTGTGTGTTTGGGAAAGAAAGGCACTTTACAAGAATTGTTCCACTTAGCATAGTCCTATCGGAGAAGGGCATTAAATTTGGAGGTCGCCATATAGATCTAGTGTTGTAAGGACGTTAACCATATACATTTTTGCAGTTGAAAATGTTTTCACCATGAGGATTCCGCAACTAGAAATAGTACCTGTGCTGTACAGAGTGATGATGGTGGTGATGGTGGTGTGGTGGTGGACTTATACATTTTGAAATTCTACAAAGTCTCCGCCAATGTTTTTGTCTTTTTTTTAAACTTTCGAGCTGTCTACAACGATGATGATGATGATGATGATGATGATGATGATGATGATGATGATGATGATGATGATGATGATGATGATGATGATGATGATGATGCTGATGATGATGATGATGATGATCACGAGGAGAAGAAGAAGAAGGAGAAGGAGGAGGAGGCGGAGGAGGAGGAGGCGGAGGAGGAGGAGGAGGAGGAGGAGGAGGAGGAGGAGGAGGAAGATTGTGACGTTGGTGGAAGTGGTGATCATGAAGCCCTTTACCGGACAAAACGTTGAACCTTTATACAATTTTGGAAATTCTACCAGTCTCAACCCCTTTTTTATTCCTTGCTGTTAACAATGATGTTGGTAGTAGTGATGATCAAGATGATCGATAGAGAGAACCAATAACACACATTACCTTTCTGATGCAGACGAGTTCATGGTGAGCCCGACCCAGACAAGAGTTAGTGTGGTGCAGTACGCTCACAGAAGCTACAGACAATTCTGCTTCAACCAGCACATGACCAACGACGCAGTCATCGAGGTAAAGAACTCGACGCGGGTGGTTGGCGGGTGCTCTGGTGTGGTTTGCTCCTTTTTTCCTATCAAACATCTATCGTCCTTATCTCCCTTCCTTCTTTTTTATGTTTGTTACTCCCTTGTAACACCTCTAATCTTCTGGCGCTCATTTGACCTTATGCAGTTGCGAGCGCCGTAAAACCTCTACTAAAACAAACAATGAACTCGAATAAGTTTAACGTGAAATTCGGTTAAATTGCTACCCCAGAATTAAGATAAGGTAAGATAAGATACATCTTTTTTTCCAAATCCTGGCATATTAGTTTGGTGTTTCACCACGTACACACACACACACACACACACACACACACACACACACACACACACACACACGCACCCAGTTGAACTTATACAAAGCTTCTCATCACAAACAACTCTAGGGAATCGCGGCCAGAGAGCGTCGCTTGCGTGGCAGTACCAAGACATACCTGGCTCTCAAGTATCTGAGGAACAGAATTTTCACCCCTGTATGCGGCTCCAGAGAAGGCTCGTCCAAGATCGCCATTCTCGTCACCGATGGCAAAGCCAATAACCGTGAGTTTTTACTGTATGCCTCTCAGGAAGTTGAGTTTGTTTCAGAATGCCCCGGGGTCTGCTGGGCTAATAGTATTAGATTGTAAAGCGTTTAGAGCTTGCTGCTGAACAAGAATTTGCGCAATACAAATGCTATCTATTATTTATTATTTTTTCGGAAATATTTTCTTTTTAAGCTTTAGTAAGAGTCTTACGACACCAACAACACTTGTAAAACATATACGGAACGGCGGTTGGAGGTGTTACTAGAAAGTAATGTACAAAGAAAAGAATGAGAAGAGATGAAGACGATCGATGTTTGACAGGAAAGACAAAGCTAACAACATTATCATGAGCACCAGCCAACCACCTACAGCGCAGGGTTGATACTCGTCGCAATACAAAAGGGAAAAATGAGAGATAAGGACGATAGCAGAAGCCCCATAGTAAAGAAGGAGCAAACCACACCAGAGCACCCGCCAATATCCCATTCCTGCTGACGTTAAACACCCTGATATTTACAGTTCTGGTCGTTTTGAAGTCCGAAAACGTTGTCTACTGTTAAGGCGACCGTGTGAGATGACAACTGTGTTGATAGTTTATTTCAATGTCAACGAGACCCTAGAACATTGTTATGCGAACTTACCTAAAGGCATGCCCACGATAGGACAAGCAGATGAGGAATCTCGAATAAAACTTCAACTGGCCTGTCGTTTCTAAACATAGGTAAAAATAACCATTTTGAGTGGCATCAGGTTGAAATCAGGCGCTCGTCAAATTAAAGAAATTGAAGAAACCTCCATTTTTCCCACCCGTTTGGGCAATTGTTATCTACTTAATTTTGGCTCAACACATGTTATATCTTTTGAAAAACATATTTCTGTGTGGATTTTACAGAGAATCGTTGACCAAATCCACAACAAATGTAAACTCGTAGTTTTCATGGACACTCAATCTTTGAAAGTCCCCAAACTTTGGCGGCCATTTCCGAGCTAAACTGACGCCTGACAGCAGCGCGAGTCCATCTCGATTTTTATTAAAGACAGATGAGGGGGGGGGGGGGCTTCACCTAAAGCAAGACAAATGGACAAGCTATAAGATAATAGTAATAACCCCATATGCCCAAAAATTGACGAGCGACTGCTTCCGCCACGTCGTGACACATATTCCAATGAGCTAAATTTTGTTTTATATGCATTGCAGCAGATGCTTGTATCCTTTTATAACACGCCTCCTCAAAGTACATTTTATTTTCTGGAATTAACATTTCTTTTTTAAATGCAACTGCAAACACCTGCAGCCTCTCTACAAAAATATTTCAAAACATTTTGTAATCGTCAAGTACGGGTAATTTCTCTAATACTAAAACACTTTTAAGGGGGTGGG